GCTCTGTTCGGCCATGCCGGGGCTATGAGGATTATGACACAGTCTGTTTCCTCTATTTTCTTCAGTACTTTGTCTAGGAGCCCATGGGGGAAAAGCGTACGCAAACATTCCCTCCCATTCCATGGAGATCGCGCCGACCTGGAGAGCCATCGGGTCTGGTACAGGGCTGACGTAGACTGGTAGTTTGTTGTTGAGACATGTGGCGAATAGATCTAGGTTTGGAGTATCCCATAGGTGGGTTATCCACTTGAATACTTCGGGATGTAGTGACCATTCCGTGGGTACTATCTTGTTTTTCCGGGATAGGTAATCTGCTAGGATATTTAACTTGACCGGTATATGTCTTGCTTCGATTTTGCAACTCACTGAGTCTACCAAGGCATATAAACGTGTAACCTCCTTCAATAAAGGCTGAGACTTTGCGCCCCTTGGTGCTGTATGTAAGCGACCACGGTCGAGTTGTCTGTAGCGATCTTTACTGACGAGTGGTGTAGACGATCTGGACATGCTTCTAAGGCTAGATATATCGCTCTCATTTCTAGACAATTGATGTGTAACTCTTTCTCTTGGGAGGACTATTTTCCCTGTATGGTAATATCGTCCATATGGGCACCCCAACCCTCTCCTGATGCATCTGTGTAGAGTTGATATAGGGGGGTGGGGTAAGCGAGTGAAATACCTGGCATGACATTCTGACGATTCAGCCACCAATGGAGTTCTGAGATTCGAACTTATGGAGGTTGGATTAAGGCTTCCACCTCTAGGTTTTTGGTGGTATTCATCCAATTCTGCAGGGGTCGTAATTGTAGTCTGCCTCTGTAGGTTAGGTCTTGGATAGATGTGAGCGTGCCTAGGCAAGACATCCACCAGCGTCTCGACTTGATGGGCTGATCGAGTGAGCTTGTTACCATGTGCTCTACTCTTGCATATCTGTCCTCTGGAGGTGCTACTATGCCCTTGTTGAGTAGAAATCTTGTGCCTATGTAGGCGATGTCCTGTGTGGTTACTAGCTCAGATTTTTTAGGGCGAAGTTGGATGATGCACACTGTATTTAATCTGATATGCGATTTGTCCTGATCGGCCGATAGGAAATCATAATTCGGGCGAACCGGGATTCGAACCCACAATCATAGATTTCTGGCATGGCAAAGGGACGCAACTCTGCACAGCGAATCGCAGCGCCTTAGACGACTGGGCCACCCGTGCCCCTTGATCTTCTGAAGCCTCGTCTGCCTCTACCTCTTCCTCTTTGTGAAGTGGGATGATCATCTTTGGAGTTCCTGTTCTTGGAGTGAAACAATCTGTCCTTCCATGTAGAGGCTCGAAAAGAATCCCGACCAGAGTTCACATGACGAGATTTAGGATTCTGTTGTTGATGCTGGATATCTGCAGGCCATTTATGGACTTGGGATGCCAATGAGATTGTGGATTCTTGAAACTTCTGCCGTTGAATATCCGTGGAGCTGTAATAGGCTGTGATAGCATGGATCTTCTTAGTGGCTCTGGGATCATATGATGAACTTGCTGTAGCAGATGATTTCTTTGCATGAGCAGGAACTGTGCTGACATCAAAACTTGTGCTGATTGAAGATCTTCCTGCATCTTCAGCATATGGTCCAATGAGGTGTGAATAAACCCTGTCTGCTGTAGTGTCATCTCCATGGGGGTATCTTATGGCAGGTCTTCGCTCTGATTGGTCGGGGGAATTATGGAAGCCAGTTAATATATGAACTGATGTTAATCATCTGTTTTTGATGTTGTCGAAGTCCCTGATTTGGGCCATGTCAACGTGCATCCTGGTGTTGGGTTTCTTAACAAGATCATAGACATCTTCATCAATACTGAGCTGTTGCGCGAAAGGAGGATCGTGTGTCTTGTAAGTACTTTTATTAATAGCAGGCATACCAAGTCTGATATTATGCGCCGATAAAGCGTTCAATGATGCTTCGACTTTTCTTGATGACGTCATCAATATATGACGGACAGGGGAGGGTATGAAATTCTTCAGTTTTGCTGACAGGTTCTTCATACCCAGTACGTTCTAACAAGGGTTTGGCAGCCGTTTTGTCTTTGTTATCTAGTTTTAAGGCCGGCATCAGATTATAAAGTTCTGCAATGATATCTTTAATGGAATAATTATTTGGTTTGTAATTATCCCCCGTAGTAGAGTCCCCATGAAGAACCAGTGTTAGCGATAGAACCGCATCCCTGCTCAGGCTGCGCTGGGGGTAGGACATATGGCTGGGGGTAGAGTAATCCCAGTCATCTGATCTATGGCTAGCGGAGCGGGAATCACGTGTTCTACAACTGTATGATTGTGACGCATCCACTTCGCTTTCCCCGCCCGTATAACTGGACTGTGTGACGGTATGGGATGGCGCACGCTTGGGACTTCTATCCTGATTTGCACGAGTTTTGTTGTCAGTTTGTCTATCATAGTGGCTAGAAGGTGACTGGTGTGTATTTCTGTGCACACTGCGATGCGATGTCCTGATTCACGATCTACCCTATGATGTGCGTGGTAGGGAGGGGATCTATGAGATTCTCGATCTCTTTTTATGACTCTCCTACTGTCCTCATAATAATTTGATTCAGCTTGACTGTGTGCGTGTCTGCTGTGTGAGGATGCCCTGTCATGTTCAGCCTTAGATCTCTTTTGAATCTCGTGTTGTGCGACGGATTCTTTTAGAGATGAGATTTCATGATACATTGATTGCATACGTTTGTCAATCATTACAGACATGGAATTGGTCATTGGAATTGGAAATCGATTGCTTCTTCCAAGCCTAGATTATCCACCTTACCAGCCACTTCCGGATGTACGTGACTGACTACATTAAAACCTTAACGGTACATCGGTTCCTTAACTATACTCAACTACAAAAGTTCCTGTGACACCAATATTTTAGTGTATTTTTCAAAGTAAACTTTGGTTTTCAATATTGTAGTACATGTATGGAATCAAGTAACAAAAAACTGCTACAGAAAAGCATGCATTCCATGCAAAAGTTGACTTTTATGCAAGTCCCATGCATTTCACTACCCAAGAATGGGTATAAAAACATGTGCGTTAACGGGATTCCATATGCATTGTTTAGCATCGTGCTGACAACAAACACTCAGAAAAACAACAAAATTACCCAATTATTCAACATTAGGAAATGCCACGTCTGTCCGAAAATGAACGTATGCGAGCCATTGGTATGCTTGAAGCAAGATCAACGTGAAATTCCAAGATAATTTAACGTCCACAGAAACACCATTTGGTGTTTATGGCAACGTTGGCAACAGACGAATGCAGTCAGAGACCATCCTTGGAGTGGCAGGCCACGCATAACCAATAATCGACAAGACAACTGGATTCGAACAACACATTCCAGCCAGCAACTGCAAGAAGCATCCCTGGCCTTCGACGAATATCTTCACTAACCGTACGTCGTCGCCTCAGATGTGCAGAGATTGTCGCCAGAAGAACCGTCAGACGTCCCATTTTGAAAGGAAACCACCGTCAAGCACATCTACAGTGGTGCAGACAGAGTTTACGCTGGATGGCCATGCAGTGGGGACAAGTTCTATTCACTGACGAGTCTCGTTTTCACCTCAGCCGCAGCGACTCGAGTGTACCGACGTCGAGGTGAACGTTATGTCAATCAATGTGTCACGGAAGAAGATCGGTTCGGGGACGGCAGCGTTATGGTATGGGGTGGGATTACAGCAAGACAGAGAACCCGTTTGATAGTGATAGAGGGAAATCGCAATGGACAGTGATGCCGCGACGAGATCATCAGCCCTGTTGTTCTACCGTTTTTGCGTCGTCATGGCCCAGGCATTACCTTTCAACATGACAACGCCCGGCCTCATATTGCTTGACTTTTTCGGGATTCTCTTCAACAAAACAACGTGAATGTCATCCCCTGGCCGGCTCGCTCCCCCTGATCTCTCACCAATCAAGCACATGTGAAATGAGATGGATCGGCGCCTTCGATGTCAACCACGTGTTCCACAGACACTCCAGGAACTTCAAAACATGCTCCAGCAGATATGGACAAATATCCCACAGGACTTTGTGCGAGAGCCTTCTGCCTTCTTATACCCCTGTTATCTGCTTGTAGAACAGCTCATTGCTTGTCTTTAGTGAAGCTCGAGATGATCTAGTGTGGCTTATAAGTGTGGAACAGCAATCACGTGTACAGATGTATGCAAGAAAAAAAATTCCTTGTTGTCATCTGAACACACAGGAAAGAAGTGAGGCGATTTCCACCTTGCGCATGCGCAGTGGCATCTCTGATGAGGGACAGGGTTTCCCTCACAACTATTAGATAAGTTGGCAGTGAAGAGGACGTCTGTTGAAAATTTATTTAAATTAGTAGTGTGGTTCTCAGCATAATCAGGAATTTATGGCTATGATGTAATAGGGTAGGGTATTCACAAGAATTATACAGTTTACAAAATGTTGTATTTAGTGTGCAACGACCAGTGTGCGCTGGGCAGTAGCACACTTTTCCTCCCCCTCTCCCTCAGGCCAACCCCTTATGGAGGAGTAACCAGGTCACAGGTCAGGCGTGCACTGGTCAGCTGTTCACCGGTGGCTAGTGAGGGGTGCTGGAGGCCAGCCATACATACTCTTGGAGTTCTGGGAGTGCAACTTGATACTGTTGTCTTATAGGGCCAAGAGTAAGATCATCCGGACGACCACTGCACGAGAGGCATGTTGGATGTGGTCGAGATACTACATGGCATAGCTGTATTACCTTATAAAGAATATGATGAAGGCTAGAAAGTTAGGTATATGTATGTAGAGCAGAGCCAGCTGGGCAATTGAGATCTGGGAGCTGAACTGTATTCAGGGATTCCCACCTGTGACAAACAATAGATGCAGTGTGTAATGATATTGCTGTGTACAACAGTCACACTCGATGCAGTGAGGCTAACAGTGATGCCACACAGGACACGGATTGCGTGTGTGTACATGCCTCAACTCCATAAAAGACAAACAATACTTTCTTGGGATGTATTTACTGCAGTGGCCTCAAAATACAAGAATTTGTTGTCTTTTATATGTTAAATTACATTGCTCAGTAAGCCCTTTGTACTGAGTGAGTGAGTATGGTTTTACGCCACATTTAGCAATATTCCAGCAATATCACAGTGGGGGACACCACAAATGGGCTTCACACATTGTACCCATGTTGAACCCTGGTCCTCAGTGTGACGAGCGAATGCTTTAACCATTAGGCTACCTATCCGCACCCCCTTTGTACTGCATTCTACTACAAGAAATCCTGAGATAAGTTGGACTGCTAGTGCTCTGATGCTACCTTCATATAGTGCTATAGCACTAGAGACAAACTGTAACAAAATGCTTACAATAAAACAATGTACTTCATGAGTTTCAATTTAAGAAACTGTACAAGAAGATATATGTCACAAATAAAGACTCCTCCCTGATAACATCACGAATTAAACAGGCCACACTATACTTCAGCTGGCACCACACTAATGTCAGCTGGTTAGACTGAAAGCAAAAAAACTTTGGTTCTTTGGTGTCACAAAACAAACATCAAATGATTCTTTGGTACACATGTAGGGTGTTATGTAACTGCTTGGTACACATGTAAGGTGTTGTCTTGTAACTCACAAGTTCACATAAGCTTTAGTTTCCAGTTTCATTAACATTACTTTCCCAGACATGAATTTTTCAAAACCGTTTGGCACACAAAACCAGTCACTTCCTTCCATTGGGGTAAGATAAGAAAGTATGAAAGTTTATCACAGACACAAAAGACAGTATTAAGTGAACGATAAATACAACATCTCAAGCTGGAAGTAGCAATAATACTGTCCTATGACTGACAGCATGATATCACAGAATGAAGCAAATGTCGGTAGTGTGGAGACGATGGTTGGCTGGGGCGTTGCACTGATTATTATAAGTTCCTGAGACATTCATGACAATGATGTTGGAAGTGCAGTGGGTGTAGCTGGGCTCTAGGACTGCAGCTGCAGCAGGAGTTCCCCTCTCTCATCCACCTTCTGAAGGAAGTGGTTCACCAGAGACAACACGAAGTCCTGAAACAACAACACACAAGTAGGTCATTTAGGACTTTCACTGTTTTTAGCAACGTGGCAGAAGATATTAAAAGGGGCTTCACATACTGTACCCATGTAAAGTCAACACTTTTAGAACTAGGATACCCCACCACAACCCAGGGAAGGACGACATTTAATATTGCAGAAATGCATCCATGGGCAACTGTCTTGAACTAAGGGCAGTATTCCATTAGTAATGTACTATGCCATGTATTCGTCGCACCATGGACACAAACATTTTCAGCTTAGAACTGTGGACACACATGTGGATGCCTTTGCCATTACATTATTGCATGAACTGGGTTTGTCACATTAGTGGATCGCGATCTGAACTGGGAAAACTTCAGATACATTCTGTTACATACTATTACTACAGGAATTGGAGAAGATGTAGCCAAACCAAAGCTCTTGGTGCCTTGCATGCATTTACTTGTTGTGACTAAGTGTCTTTCTTTACAACCAAGCTAGGACAATAAGACAATATGGAACAAATATGGAACACATGGACAGCTGACACAGAAGTCATTGATGCATATCAAAACACTCACAATCTTTCCCATTGTGCAGTGCTTTGTGTGTATGATATATGACAGCACCAGCAGCAATGTCAATGAGACTATTCCATCAAGAGCTTCGGCACTGTATGAACACAAGTCCATCAGATTCATGTGAACCCTTCTGGAACTACAAGAAGGATCCAAGTCATGTAGAGAGCTACTGAAGTACAGATGCAAGAAATGATGCAGAGCCCGATGTACATGTGTTGTTGCAGGCCTTGTGTTTACACGTAATCCCTATTACTTAGAGCTGTCAATAAACTGAAAATCATATCTATCGTAGACACACCGAGTAACTCTGAGTCACCAAGTTTTATTCATTACTTTATTTACTACAATAAAATTAAATTTCATTGTGTTCATTGAAATTCCTGCATTCTGATTAGCTGACTTGGTCACGTGTTATTACATTCATTTCCCAGTGAATGTAATAAATTAAGCCACACCCACCGAGGCGCACTACTTCTATTACTGTGGGATGTCGGGGAATCCCAATATCACAGTCGAGGGAATTCCCTTTCTGCTCACGTGTATCGTCATGCACAGACATTTGGCGGCATTCCTGCATATTCATTGTCCAAACTGCCCTTTGAACCAGACATACTTTATTAGGATTTATTGTCTATGCATTCTTGAAATGGATGTTGTTAGTCTTTAAATTGTATGTATAGTGGATATTTTCAAAAACAAGACTGTCAGCTGATATAAGGAATGTAACATCCAGTTGATCTTCTAGTTATCTTTCCTACTGGTTTTATCAAATAAGATGACTGTGTACGACATACTTCAGTCTGTTATCGAAGCTTTTACAAATAATATTTTGAAAAAGCCAGTTAAACGACAGTTGTGACAGGGAGGATTGTACAGACAGACAGATTGACAGCCATTGTTGACGAAAGGTTATTTGAACGGCAGTGGCCTTGTAGAATGTTAGTATACTTTGAGGATTTCTGTGACCAGTGACGGACGTAATTCTAACTCCTTCCACACTGACACCGCATCAAAGTTTTTTGTGTACCGATTACATAACTCTTAATGACAGGGTGGGGAAGTGGGGTGGTAGTTCACGTGAAACGGACAACACTGTCTGTGTCTGCTGGGCGGCACCTTTGATATCGCCTCCAAACATACATGGAATGGAATGAACCATTAAACGATGATACACATCAGGATCGCAGAGAAAAAACAAGATTCGCTCTTGTTGTATATCAGGGCACCTATTCATCTTTCATAAACTTCTTGTGTCTTTGTGCTTAATATATATGCGCAATTAATGAAAACATGTAACACATATATCTTAAAAAAATATATATATATACTAGCCACATAAAGAAACTGTGCACAGAGAAAATATATTCTGGATTGAAATACAACACAGCAAGAACAAAATGATGCAGACGCTGTAGCAGCTGAATGATCGGACCATAAGAAAATGTCAACGGGACCTGAACAACATCTGTTACGATGACGTCAGAAGATCAAAATGGAGTAGGGGGTCAAACGACAAAGTCACAAAGTCAATAACGGGTATGACCACCCAGTGCGTGAATCACAGCAGTGCATCGGCGACGCATGGAGTCCACCAAATGGGCATGGAAGGCCTGGGGAATTGCCTGCCATATCCTCCTCAAATCCTGTGCCAAGTCACGGACGTTATCTGGAGGATGTGGAAGACGATTCAGACGGCGCTCCATTTCATCCCACACATGCTCTATTGGGGAGAGATCTGGAGAAATTGCAGGCCACGGCAGTAACATGACATTGTTATTGTGAAGGAAATCCATTGCGACCCTAGCCGTGTGAGGACGAGCGTTGTCCTGTTGAAATGTCAATCCCGGGCCATGACGTTGCAGGAAAGGAATGACCACAGGCCTCAGAATCTGATCTCTGTAGCCAACACCGGTGAGATTGCCCTGAACAACCACCAAAGGGGTTTGGTGCCGTGCTGTTATCCCACCCCAAATCCTCACAGAGCCACCTCCAAAACGATTCCTCTCCACAATACAGTTGCGTGCTTAACGTTCACCCAAACGCTGGTAGACACGTTGGCGCCCCTCACTGTGGGAAATGTTGAACCTCGATTCATCTGTAAAGACAACATTTCTCCACCATATTCCAGGTTGGCGAACATGATTTCGACACCATCTTAGACGGTTGACTCGATGACAGTGTGTCAGGATGGGACGTATGGCAGGGTGTCGTGGTCGAATCCCTTACTGACGTAGACGATTCCTGACAGTTTTGGGATGGATACGGCGCAGTCCAGGAATTGTCTGGGACGTCGTTACTGACGTTTGGAACCTGTGTCGGAGATGTGTCACTCGAATCCATCTGTCCTGTCTTGGCGTCGTTACTCGGGGACGTCCTGAAAGTGGGTGGTCAGCAACGTCATTTGTGTTCTGATAACGCCTCACCAATGCCGATATCGTGTTACGATGGCATTGGAAATGTGTTGCCACTTGTTGTTGCCTCATTCCCGCTCGGATCATTCCAATGGCTTCATGACGCTGTGCAGCTGTCAATCTTGGCATGATTTGCTTGTGATATGCTTGTATCTGCGCCTGAGAAGTTTTGAATTTTTGAATGACCACAGATCATGCTTTCCAAAGTGACAGCGAATTTTGAGTTGCACATGCTGTGTACAGCTGCACAGGATGCACGTGCAGTAACACATTGCACGTCCATAGGCCCCCATCAATGACGTCATATCGCATGGCACGTGCATGAGCGTTTGAATGTCTCCAATAACTGCTGTGTTCAAACCTATATTTCATATATGGACGGTGTGCCCTTATATCTATATTTTCTCCGTGCACAGTTTCTTTATGTAGCTGGTATATATATGTAAAAAGGCTGGGTATTTGCGTATGATCTGTGTCAGGTTGCGTGTGTTTTATTAGGAAAGACTAAGGATAGAATATAGGAGTGAGTGAGTGAGTGAGTATGGTTTTACGCCGCTTTTAGCAATATTCCAGCAATATCGCGGCGGGGGACACCAGAAATGGGCTTCACACATTGTACCCATGTCGGGAATCGAACCCGGGTCTTCGGCGTGACGAGCGAACGCTTTAACCACTAGGCTACCCGACCGCCCCTAGAATATAGGAAATTCAGTGACGATTAATATAATCCTTTCAACTGCTGAGTTTGTTTGCATTATTTTCATGAAATACAATGTTAGGTAGAATAAGAGCTTGTTATATAGATTAAACTTCTCCATAACCTGAGTATAATCTCACATGTACTATAAGTACCGTACTATATTACTGTGAGGAAATCACAAAAAGCACTATGACAAGGTATGCCCATTTTGCTATCAACCTGAATCCATTGCTCACTTGTTACTGGAATGTCAAGACCATGCCCCAGCCCAGGCTCAGTTAAAAGAATAATTGCAGTTATATCTGCTATCTGTCGTAGATCTCCTAAAGCCAAGAGATGCGCCCTCCCACTGGCCCCGGAGTCGGCATTGTGTTGAAAGACGGTAGGCGTAAATCGCAATCCAAAGACATAACCAGTCTACAACGTCGGAGGGGGTGGTAAGGGAGTCAGGACCTGCATTCACCTCTGCCTCCCTATTTACCACGGCGATTGTAGCCTCGTTTCTTGTAGTCTGGTTGGCGAAAAGAATTCTGCGAAGATTGTCGTTTGTCAAACCCCCGACTCGGGGGACAGCGGGGACAAACTTCTTCTTAGGAGGCTGTTTAGCAGATGAGGAGCAGCAAAGCTAGTTGAAGTTTGGAAACGTTCTGCAGTGTCTTCTCTCACTTCATGTATGTCCCAATTTTCCGTTGAATGTTGTGGAAGCTAATATAGATTGTGATGTTATCAACCTCTTGGTTTGATTAGAAACAGCTCTGGATCGGATCTGGGTTAAGAGTAACCATAGGAGTTGTGAAAACATCCAGACTTGGAGGAGAGTAAGTCTTCATGCATCCTGACGATAGTGTCAAGAAGGCTATGGATGAGTTCGACTTGATCGGTCTTAATAGACATGAGACGATGTAGAAGCATGACATCCCTCATATTCCGGCATCTGGGGCAGCTCATGCTGTGTCACAGGAGGTTGGAGTACAGGCATGAGATGGTAGAGTTCCTCTATTAGCAATAACCTTTGATGTAGTCCTGCTGAGGTGAGTCATCATCCTGATCTTCGTACTCCGCCTCTGCCTCAGACTGACCTTCGGTAGCTCCGGTGGGGGGTGGGTAATCATTGTAATCATCGTCTACCCTGTGGGTTTCGTCCTTCTCCAGTGTTCAAGATTCCAGAATAATCAATCTCCGTGCGGCTTGTGATGGTCCGTGGGTAACAGTAGCCCTGCGGTGGCTGTCCTCCTGTCGGTGGGGATGGTGGGATATCCTGAGAGGGAGGCGCTGGGGTGGAGGCTGATTTCACAGCCGTGATGTTCTCTGCCTTCTTCTTAGCGGCCTCCCGTCTCTTGGCCTTTGTTGTAGCCTGGGCCATCTTGGAGATGATTTTCTCATCAGTATTTACACACTTCTCACACCTCTTGTCTTTACTACAAGTGGTGCCTCTGCACTTTGTGCAGCTTTCATGAGGATCTCCTGTGACCATGGACCGGCCACACTTCTTACACCCTGGGGTAGAGGAAGATTGCATATTGACCTCACAAAGAGCACCAAACACCAGCCATACTTACATTCGTGTAATAACTTTCAGCAACAAAATTATGTATTCTTATGTCTGATATTTTAGAAAACCATTTGATAATCTTAGATTAATGTGACTTACAACCAAGTGATAGATTGTTACTACTATTATAATAGGTGTTGCTCAAGCACACACAGGAAAAAAGTGATATTTCTGCCATTATGATGTCATGGCTTGGGTAGTTACGAGACTGCTTGGTGATAACTAATTGTGTGATTGACAGTGAAGAGGACATCTGTTGAAAATCTGAAAATTTTAGGTAGTGTGATTGAAGCCAAAATACAGGATTTATGACAGATATGTAATAGAGGTAGAAGTTTCGTAAGAATTGTGTGTTTTCTGGTCTGTTCCACTTTAATGAAAGGTAAACAGGTAACTATTGCTTTACTAACCATCCTTGACTAATCCTGGTATAAGCTGTCTGACAATTTGGAGGTTACCGCAAATATGGATCAGACATTAAACAACGTCCTAGTGCGAATATGGGAATTATCATGAGAAGGCTGTTGTTTTTTCTGAACTGTTCCCATTTCTCCAAACAAAAGTGGTAATGCATTTAAAAGTTGCATTTGTGTCACTGTATTCACACAAGATTTCATCAATTGGCTTCAAACATAATTCCTTTCAGTCAGTTCGACACCTCATGTAATAAACAAATTAGTTCAAGATTTCGTTAGAATGGGAGATATTCTGCCAGACGTTATGCAATGAAAGACGAATCAGTCTTTTCATTAAAATATGCGCACGGACACCTGTATATCCCACACTTAGTGTCACTTAATTGCCCAATGTGATCAATGGAAGGTATATGGAAAGCAAAATCCACTTAAAAGCGTAGGCCATTAACATTTTACTTCAATACACAAGACCACTGTTGCGACAGACAGGGACTCCACTCTGCAGGCCCGATCTTCCTAACTCGTCATAAAATGTAACGAATTGAAATGTAACAAAGAGACATAAAATGGGAATGAGAAAGAAACCAACTAAACAGTAATGTTGTGGATGAAACTGCCAATAATTGAAATACACTTGCAGGAATTTGTATAATAAATCATAAATATTTGTTGAGAGGTGAGGCCGTATTCATTAAAGATCGTTACAATATGTACAAAACTTATATAAGGTAACATTCAACCAAGAGGAACATTTAAAATAGTAATGTAATGATATGATATAAAGTATATTTCACAAGATACAACATACTTTTCACACAATTAGTTAATGCTTTAAAGAGACTGATCAAAACTAATTTGACAGTTATATCTTACAACAAAATAAAACTATTTAACACTTAAAAGAATTCTGGATAAACCTTTTCACACGCATCCTACTCTGCATACATTGAAAAACTGTTTAATAGTGCATATAGATTATTAAAGACCTTCTTTTTCATTTCGCTTAAGTGTTGTTGTTGCTTTAAGTGTTTAAGAGGTCACCCTCTTCCTTAACAATTTCAACTGACCCGTGTGTGTGATTTGGGTTCACATATCTATTGTGAGTTCTTGCCTGATGCCCATGAAGTGCAGCTCAAAAATAAGGGAGATATTATGTCACAACTTGTCATGAAACACCCACAGTTTGAGTCTCAAATTGAGTTTTGAGTAAATGCAACTTTTTCGCACATGGGCGAAAAGATTTAATAATGAGTGAGTGAGTGAGTGAGTTGGGTTTAACGCCGCTTTTAACAGTATTCCAGTTATATCGCGGCGTGTCAGCTTAATGTGGGAGGAAAGCCCGAAGTGATGCGAGTCTCAGACGTTTACCTCTTCGGTGAAACCCACGAGCACGGGTATGGTGCTGACAAACCTAGAAACATAATCGGGGCGAACCAGGATTCGAACCCACAATCAAAGGTTTCTGGCGTGCCCAAGGGACGCAACTCTGCACAGCGAATCGCGGCGCCTTAGACGACTGGGCCACCCGTGCCCCCTATTTAATAATGCCATAAATTAGTTGAATTAAGCCAAAATGAGTTGAATTATGAATCATTATACTTGTAGAAACACCTTTATGTATTTCCCAAACCAAAACATGAGTTTTGAGCAAAGGAAAATATTCTTGTCCATTTGTAATTTTGAGTTTTCGACACATGTTTTTTTTCACGTACCCTTGAAAACAGCATGTTGAATTTTGGAAACAGCTTTGCCCGAAATGTCATTTTAATAATAGATGTTTAATGTTGATAAACAACTGAAAAATGCAAATTTTGTGCATTTTTAGAGTCCATATTGGATTTGGCAGCCATATTGGATTGTTGGTTGGTTTGTTGTTTAACGCCGCACTCAGCAATATTCCAGCTATATGACGGCGGTCTTTAAATAATCGTGTCTGGACCAGACAATCCAGTGATTTTTATCATGAGCATCGATCCAAGCAATTGGGATCGATGACATGTATCAACAAAGTCAGCGAGCCTGACCACCCGATCACGTTAGTCGCCTTTTACGATAAGCATAGTCGCCTTTTACGGCAAGCATGGGTTGCTGAAGACCTATTCGACCCCGGAATCTTCACGGGTCCAGCCATATTGGAAACATAATGGTAACCAAGTACTAAAAAGGATCAAATGACAGCGAAGTACCACAATCCCTAACATGAGAAAGCTAAAGCCCTAATGCTTACACATGTCCAAAACTAAGGATAATTTTGGTGGCCATCTTGAATTTGGTGGCCATATTGGAAACATTATGGTAAGCAAGTACGTGTATATAAATAGGATCTAATGAAACAGAAGTACCACAATCCCAAATTTGAGAAAGCAAAATGAACATCTAAAGGCCTAATGTTTACAAACGTAAAAAAATAAGGATAATTTTGGTGGCCATACTGGAAAATATTGGCTGGCACTATAGGTTCTACTACACCAAATCAGTACCAGTTTGGAGAGTGCGGTTTTCGTAGGGAGCCTTCAGTGCAGATCGAGAGATATCTGCAGGCTGTGATTGGAGGATATTCTGTAAGATTTTTATGTCTTTCAAATGTACATCCATCCAGTTATTAAAACTGACCATGTTTTTCTATATTTAGTACTGTCTTTTTCAACATGATGACTTATGCTGAATGTGACCACAGCTATTTTCAAGTAGGTGACATTTGGTGCGAAACTGGGGGTGGTGTGTTTAGCTTCCGGTACTCGGAAAAGGAGCTGACTAAGCTAGTCATTTTTATTTTTTTTATTGCTGCTCTAAGGCCAAACTGTGCACACACGTACAGGTAATAGCTGTTGAATGCTTAGTTATTTTAAAAAAAATCATAACGTTACTATAGAAGTCTATGGGAAAACATTTGGTTGTGTGTAACCTGTAGGGTGAGTGCACATTTCAGTAATTCATACTTTACATGCTTTTCTGTTTATATTTCACCATGGATACACCATGGAGGCAAATTTAAAAATAATGACAGTGAAGTTGGGGACATTTTGGGTTGAATGGAGCATTTGGATGGGCTGGAAATGAATGTTGCTTCGTATTGTGGTCGAACTCAGCACGAACCCCCCAGGGTACCTCTGTCCAACAAACCCTCCTCCTGCCTTCTGAATTTGTTGAAACTGATGAATTTGACAACAAATTAGGATAAAGTCACCACTGCCACAACAATTTCTGCCTTGTGTCAATCGCTTGCCAGTCAAGTTACTCGATGCCGTTATCTTGAATATGAAGCATGTACACTGCTGACAGCAGAATATGTCAAACATCCCCTTATTTATAGTAAACAATGTAGCATACCAATATGTCTTTCTGTTAGGTGCTCTTGTGTGAATGAATGATGCTATTTTTCTATTAAGTTTCTTAAAACAGACTTATTTTTCACTCATAAAACTTTCAAATAATTATTTTGTCCCCTCAAGAACTGACTCCTGGCTGTTATATCCAAACTGGTTTGCCATTTGATATTGTCTGAACACTTTTTTCAGCTTTTCACATGCCTGATGTTGACTGGGGAGGTATATGTGCACTCATGCAGAAGAAGTAGGAGTTTCGACATCGAATTTAGCATTTGGAGAAGCTGATCCGAAGTCCGGTGTTGGCAGTGTGTGATCGACAACCCTTGTTTTGCCTCGCTGCGCTTTATTACCTTGTAGAAGTTGTGGAACTTGGACATGTAGGTACAGTAAGTACATTTAAGAACCCCAGTCCACTTGAGGCCCCTCTGTTGCTCACTATCAAGTGCCATAATAAGATCACCCTCATGCACTAGACATTTCTGACAGTGCTCCCTTAAAGGGGAAGTGTACACGCAAAAATCACTTTCTTTCTTTTTCTAAACAAAACGCAATTTTAGAATTAATTAGTATCTGTGTTTGAAAATATACGCTCATTTTTTTCACAGTGAAAGTAGGAAGCTCACAATAGTGTTAAAATGATATGTCGTTATGAGGCCTTCGTTTTACGAGCGAAATAGGCCTGAGTTATCCCCCTTAGATTATGACGTAATTGGTGCCAATTCAACTGGGTCCCTGTCTATTCTCAACGCAAAAGATATCAAGGACCAGTTTGCGGTAAAACAACATGGTCTACGACACACTCCGGCGCAGTGGTGACTCAGCATAACACAATTCTGGCTGGCATCTGAGACGCTAGAATCACAAAACTGTACCTACACCACGTGAAGCGGCTCTAACAAAGCATGATGACGTCATAATGTTTATCAATTGGCACCAATGACGTCATATTGCAAGGGGCATAAGCCATGGTGTTTTTGTTATGGAAATAGAACACTTTGTAAATGTGAAAAATATAAATCGTTTTAATGCAAAAAATATGTTAATTAAATATGTTTTTATATTTTTGTCTATGACACTTCTATGTTAACACTTTTAATGTGGAAAAAGTACAAGAAAAATTGGTTCATTTCCGTGTGAACTTGCCCTTTAATGCCTCACTGTGCAGTTTTTTAGTTTGCAAACATGAAGTAAGGGCTATACACCAGTCCCAGAACCTGCTTAGATGAAAATAATATCCACTGGCTCTTTTGGAATGTAACATTATGGTTCTGAAATCATCTGTAAAGAATGTGATAGTGTTCGACAAAACTAAATTATCTCCCCTGTTTAGTAAAATGCATTGTATCTTTCATTCCCCTATAAACCCATAAATTATTGGAGAGAAACACTATTTTAAGCTGGTATTGCATGACACTGTTAATTGTGAATAAAAAGAATTACATTTATGTCAGGATAAGCTGTACATTTTCAAAATTATATGGAATTTTAACTTTGTTTCATTGAAACTGGCAAATAACTGAAATAAGCAAGTTTAGCCACCTTGAAACATTAAACAGTAAGAATGTTTGATGTCCTGTGAGTATTTTAAAGTCTTAACTAAATAAATCAATAGAGTTAAGTGTAATTTCCTTCCATGTTGTGGTTTCAAAAAGCTTTTTTCTACTTGAGGGTCCATTTCAATTTCTCGGCTTTAATAGGCGGTATGGTTCACTGGTCAGTGTTTGAGATTGCTGTTAACAATGCACCCCTTTACTTCCTATTTTCTGGTAAAGTTCATTATCCAGCCTTACATATATGATGACTTTAAAGCTGCTTAATGTGTCCCTTGCTTATTGTTGGCCTGAATTCCATGCTCTCTGTCCAATTTTGAGATTTTTTTCTGATTCCTTTCCATGTGTACTTATGTCATCAGCCTATATCATAGAGGATTATACTTTTGATTTTTGGAGTATATGAAAGCACAAACATTTGTAATAGCCCCTCCATAGATGATTTACCAAATGCTGACAGCCATTTGAGTGTTTAATTATATAAACAATGGATGGTGTAAGTTCGAGCAATCTCAAACAATATCAATCGCATCATGTCATGAGTGTCAAAACCATATTCCATGAATGTAGCAGACTCTGCTATGTTCTGATGATGTCAGCAAAGGAAGGCAAACAACAGACCACTACTCAATTTTAAATATGTATTGTAACTGGTTTTGAGGTTTAAAGATTTGTTCAATTTTTTTAGTCGAAAAAATATTTTAGGGTGATATGATCTATGCAGCCTCAATCATTTATAGAATTGACCCCTGACCACCATCTTTTATGAAATATAAATGAACTTCCATGGTCAGTGCATGAAGGTAAAAACTTCTTTATTAATACAGAAATACCTTTTGTAAAACATTGATGAAGTGTACATCATTAAACTCTCAGAACTCTTTCTGTGCATCAAAACTATGTATTCTGGTGCCATATAGACATGCTGGATAGGAACAAGTAGTGAAGTTTAATCCAATTTCCATTTTTTTTCTGAGAAGCTACATATATATACAATATATAAATCACAGATTTGACAAGTGCAAATATATTCTGATTTGTCTACAGGTTCTACTACACCAAATCAGTACCAGTTTGGAGAGTGCGGTTTTCGTAGGGAGCCTTCAGTGCAGATCGAGAGATATCTGCAGGCTGTGATTGGAGGATATTCTGTAAGATTTTTATGTCTTTCAAATGTACATCCATCCAGTTATTAAAACTGACCATGTTTTTCTATATTTAGTACTGTCTTTTTCAACATGATGACTTATGCTGAATGTGACCACAGCTATTTTCAAGTAGGTGACATTTGGTGCGAAACTGGGGGTGGTGTGTTTAGCTTCCGGTACTCGGAAAAGGAGCTGACTAAGCTAGTCATTTTTATTTTTTTTATTGCTGCTCTAAGGCCAAACTGTGCACACACGTACAGGTAAAAGCTGTTGAATGCTTAGTTATTTTAAAAAAAATCATAACGTTACTATAGAAGTCTATGGGAAAACATTTGGTTGTGTGTAACCTGTAGCCATAAATGTTTGTACGTTTGTACTGGGATAAAGAACCTGTGTACCAAATGTCATGCTTTTGACTCAAAGTGTACAATTTAGTTAATAGCTGCTCCACTAAAAGGGGTTTCATATTGTCAGTCTAAACAAGAATATATGTGAAGTCGTGCAGTTGCTGAAGATACACTGCTTACCTTGTTGCTGCTGATTTTTTCACATTTCTTTATCCAGCGTCGGTTGTTCTTCTTCTCTACTTCTGACACCAAATCCTAAATAGATTTACGCCATATTAAATTCCATGCTCTACCATATCGGTGTATTATTTCTCCATTCTGTACAATAAATACCATGGATCAATTCAAAAACATAGCTTCATGTTTATCTGAATTGAATGACATGATGCTAAATATAGAGTAACTTATTCAGATTTAGCTTTTTGAAATCATCAAAAGCAATATGAGCAAATGGGTTGAAGGATTTGACTCTAAATTAGTGGAAGTAGGACACACTGGATAAATGAGATTTTTGACATGCGCAGTTATAATTTGTCTTCAGACATTGCATTGATTGTCAAAAAAGAGATAAATATAATATTTCCATCTTGATGATCTTGTCTTTGCTTGTTTGTTGTTTAATGCAACACTCATCAATATGCGAGCTATATGACAGCACAGGGCTTGAAAAATTTCTTACCTGCAGGGCAAGTTGATATTATTTTGTACTAGTCCTGCAATATTTTTTCACTTGCCCTGTTAAATTCCATAAAGTTTTATCTTCTCAGTTATGATTTACGGCAGACAGTACAAAATAATTCAGATCTAATAATAATAATCTACATTTATCTCCGCCCATTCAGACTCGCTCAACCATACGTCTTGCAGATTGTTTTCATTTTTTTAACAGTCATACTGTTTTTGAGAAATGTTCCTTTTTTTTTACCTATTTGTTAATTAAATCATGTTTTTTTGTCGTCAACCCCACCATCCCCATTTAAAAACTTCCTTATGTCAGCCATATCCCTCCCAAAATCAACCATCTGCTGTTCACTATCGCTTTGACATTTGAGGGTCAGTAATGAGTCACTCACAACAAAAGCAATTTTTATTATCTCCCTTTAAATACTAGTTTCGATACCTGCTGCACAAACTCACTTTCAGGTTATTTCTGTAACAGATTGTCAAGTATGTCATCTACTTATGATATAAGCAACATGTATTTCGTTGTTATTACTAAGATTGCCTAGTAGGAAGAGCGTTTCTTCAATTCTATCTAGCCCTGCAGCAAGCATACAAGTGGATTTTTCAAGCCTTGGGGAAGTCTGTAGATAAGTCTGGACCCGAAATCCAGTGACTGACATCACAAGCATCAATCTACGCAATTGGAGTAGATACGATGACATGCATCAACCAAGTCAGCGAGTCTGACCACCTGATCCCATGAGTCGCCTCTTATGACATGCATAGTTACCTTTCACGGCAGGCATAGGTTGCTGAAGACCTATTCTAATCTGGATTTTCATGGGTTTGATCTTATGTATTCTCCCTAGAAACTAGGATTGTCACGATAAATCGAAATATCGATATATTGCTATTGGTAAGCACTTAAGTCATATAAATTGATTGTTAAATCAGTTTCAGATTAATAGTATCGATTTCAGTTAGGAATATCGATAGTTTAGATTGTATATACCATATCATGTGATTGAGTAACCAAAACACACACGCGATTGAGCCAAGAGAGGATTAGAGAGGATTAGAGTTAACTGCCCTTGATGCTTAGCAACTGGTCTTCTTAAAGTAAAATGGCGGAGGGTGACAGTCAAGTGCAGTTTGCGACAAACTAGGGCAGTAAAATCAAGTGTATGGAAGTCTTATTGTTATCACATTCAAAGGAAACTTTAGTTTCAGGGTTTAATTAAACTCTAAAATCCATCTTAAATGATCCACTGAATCGATATCGATATTTATCGCATTTGTTGCTTGCAATATCAATAGTTATCACAATAGTTTCTTTCAATATCAAGAGTTATCGCAATAGTGATTTCCAGACCAATAATCACCCCTACTAGAAACCATTAAAAAGTGCCAAGAAGTAAGTAACGCAAGACTGACCGGTTCAGTGTCCATATCTCCATCAGCACTCATGATGTCCTCCAGGTCAGACTGGCTGAGATTGAGGATGTTCTTGGCCACATCCTGGGCCTTCTGTAGAGAGAAGTCCACAGGCTGAGTGTGCTTCTCCCGCCGGACCAGGTAGTCCTTCACCTGCCCCCTGGTATGCTCCACCCTCAACACCAGCTCCTTGCCCAGGGCCTGCAGCACAAGTAGACCAAATACAACGCTGGATATATAACAACTTAACACACTGCCATAGGCTGGTCATACAACACTTTACAGCTTAACACACACCCATCAGGCTGGTCGGTCATACTACTACTTAACTTAGAGATATTAGGCTGGACATACTACAGCTTAACATACAGATACTAGGCTGTTCATACTACTACTTAACATACAGATACTAGGCTGGACATACTTCTACTTAACATACAGATACTAGGCTGGACATACTACAGCTTAACATACAGATACTGGGCTGGACATACTACTACTTAACATACAGATACTAGGCTGGGCATACTACAACTTAACATACAGATACTAGGCTGGACATACTACTACTTAACATACAGATACTAGGCTGGACATACTACTACTTAACATACAGATACTAGGCTGGACATACTACTACTTAACATACAGATACTAGGCTGGACATAATAGAGCTTAACATACAGATACTAGGCTGGACATACTACTACTTAACATACAGATACTAGGCTGGACATACTACTACTTAACATACAGATACTAGGCTGGACATAATAGAGCTTAACATACAGATACTAGGCTGGACATACTACTACTTCACATACAGATACTAGGCTGGACATACTACTACTTAACATACAGAAACTAGCCTGGACATAATAGAGCTTAACATACAGATACTAGGCTAGACATACTACAGCTTAACATACAGATACTAGGCTGGACACACTACTACTTAACATACAGATACTAGGCTGGACATACTACAGCTTAACATACAGATACTAGGCTGGACATAATAGAGCTTAACATACAGATACTAGGCTGGACATACTAGAGCTTAACATACAGATACTAGGCTGGACATACTACTACTTAACATACAGATACTAGGCTGGACATACTACTACTTAACATACAGAAACTAGCCTGGACATAATAGAGCTTAACATACAGATACTAGGCTGGACATACTACTACTTAACATACAGATACTAGGCTGGACATACTTCTACTTAACATACAGATACTAGGCTGGACATACTAGAGCTTAACATACAGATACTAGGCTGGACATACTACAACTTAACATACAGATACTGGGCTGGACATACTACTACTTAACATACAGATACTAGGCTGGACATACTACTACTTAACATACAGATACTAGGCTGGACATACTACTACTTAAAATACAGATACTAGGCTGGACATACTACAGCCTAACATACAGATACTAGGCTGGACATTCTACTACTTAACATAGATACTAGGCTGGACATACTACTACTTAACATACAGATACTAGGCTGGACATACTACAGCCTAACATACAGATACTAGGCTGGACATACTTCTACTTAACATACAGATACTAGGCTGGACATACTACTACTTAACATACAGATACTAGGCTGGACATACTACAGCTTAACATACAGATACTAGGCTGGACATACTACAGCTTAACATACAGATACTAGGCTGGACATACTAGAGCTTAACATACAGATACTAGGCTGGACATACTACTACTTAACATACAGATACTAGGCTGGACATACTACTACTTAACATACAGAAACTAGCCTGGACATAATAGAGCTTAACATACAGATACTAGGCTGGACATACTACTACTTAACATACAGATACTAGGCTGGACATACTACAGCTTAACATACAGATAGTAGGCTAGACATACTACAGCTTAACATACATATACTAGGCTGGACATACTACAACTAAACATACAGATACTAGGTTTGACATACTAGAGCTTAACATACAGATACTAGGCTGGACATACTACAACTTAACATACAGATACTAGGCTGGACATACTACAGCTTTACATACAGATACTAGGCTGGACATACTACAACTTAACATACAGATACTGGGCTGGACATACTACTACTTAACATACAGATACTAGGCTGGACATACTACTACTTAACATACAGATACTAGGCTGGACATACTACTACTTAAAATACAGATACTAGGCTGGACATACTACAGCCTAACATACAGATACTAGGCTGGACATTCTACTACTTAACATAGATACTAGGCTGGACATACTACTACTTAACATACAGATACTAGGCTGGACATACTACAGCCTAACATACAGATACTAGGCTGGACATACTTCTACTTAACATACAGATACTAGGCTGGACATACTACTACTTAACATACAGATACTAGGCTGGACATACTACAGCTTAACATACAGATACTAGGCTGGACATAATAGAGCTTAACATACAGATACTAGGCTGGACATACTAGAGCTTAACATACAGATACTAGGCTGGACATACTACTACTTAACATACAGATACTAGGCTGGACATACTACTACTTAACATACAGAAACTAGCCTGGACATAATAGAGCTTAACATACAGATACTAGGCTGGACATACTACTACTTAACATACAGATACTAGGCTGGACATACTACTACTTAACATACAGATACTAGGCTGGACATACTAGAGCTTAACATACAGATACTAGGCTGGACACACTACTACTTAACATACAGATACTAGGCTGGACATACTACAGCTTAACATACAGATAGTAGGCTAGACATACTACAGCTTAACATACATATACTAGGCTGGACATACTACAACTAAACATACAGATACTAGGTTTGACATACTAGAGCTTAACATACAGATACTAGGCTGGACATACTACAACTTAACATACAGATACTAGGCTGGACATACTACAGCTTTACATACAGATACTAGGCTGGGCATACTACTACTTAACATACAGATACTAGGCTGGACATACTACTACTTAACATACAGATACTAGGCTGGACATACTACAGCTTAACATACAGATACTAGGCTGGACATACTACAGCCTAACATATAGATACTAGGCCGGGCATACTACTACTTAACATACATATACTAGGCTGGACATACTACAGCTTAACATACAGATACTAGGCTGGACATACTACAGCTTAACATACAGATACTAGGCTGGACATACTACAGCTTAACATACAGATACTAGGCTGGACATAATACAGCTTAACATACAGATACTAGGCTGGACATACTACAGCTTAACATACAGATACTAGGTTGGGCATACTACAGCTTAACATACAGATACTAGGCTGGACATACTACTACTTAACATACAGATACTAGGCTGGGCATACTACTACTTAACATACAGATACTAGGCTGGACATACTACAGCTTAACATACAGATACTAGGCTGGACATACTACAGCTTAACATACAGATACTAGGCTGGACATACTACTACTTAACATACAGATACTAGGCTGGGCATACTACAACTTAACATACAGATACTAGGCTGGACATACTAGAGCTTAACATACAGATACTAGGCTGGACATACTACTACTTAACATACAGATACTAGGCTAGACATACTACAGCTTAACATACAGATACTAGGCTGGACATACTACAGCTTAACATACAGATACTAGGCTGGACATACTACTACTTAACTTAGAGATACTAGGCTGGACAAACTACTACTTAACAAACAGATACTAGGCTGGACATGCTAGAGCTTAACAACAGATGCTAGGCTGGACATACTAGAGCTTAACATACATATACTAGGCTGGACAATACTAGAACTTAACATACAGATACTAGGCTGGACATACTACTACTTAACATACAGTTACTAGGCTGGACATACTACAACGTAACATACAGATACTAGGCTGGACATACTACAGCTTAACATACAGATACTGGGCTGGACATACTACTACTTAACATACAGATACTAGGCTGGACATACTACTACTTAACATACAGATACTAGGCTGGACATACTACTACTTAAAATACAGATACTAGGCTGGACATACTACAGCCTAACATACAGATACTAGGCTGGACATTCTACTACTTAACATAGATACTAGGCTGGACATACTACTACTTAACATACAGATACTAGGCTGGACATACTACAGCCTAACATACAGATACTAGGCTGGACATACTTCTACTTAACATACAGATACTAGGCTGGACATACTACTACTTAACATACAGATACTAGGCTGGACATACTACAGCCTAACATCAAACAATAGTTATCATTGTGAATAATTCTAAGAATACCACCTCTATCACATCAGTGCCATAAATTCCTGTTTATGCTGAGAACCACACTATAATTTTTTTAATAAATTTTCAACAGACGTCCACTACACTGCCAACATATCCATAGTTGTGAAGGAAACCCTATCCCTTGCCAGAGGCGCCACTGCGCATGCGCAAGGCGGGAATCTAGTCACTTCTTTCAACCCATACTCTCATCAACTAGATGCAGATATTTGGGGAGGTGGGAGGGATTAATTCCTGATGTGATAGAGGTGGTATTCTTAGAATTATTCACAATGATAACTATTGTTTGATAATTCTTGTGAATACCTCACCTCTATCACATCAGTGCCAGTATACACCAGAGGGACCGGCGGGTTCTGGTATCTAGCATCCCATAGAAATTTGGCTAGTGAAGTGGTAAAACCAAGGATTATATGCCAAAAGGGGTCTTAAACGGATGTGTCTAATAGTCTACTTACAAGACTTAGACGTATAGAATTTTCAAGGCGTCATGTGAAGGGTATATGTATATTCCCTTGTGAAACTTAGACTTTTTAGTGACGTCGCTTCCTGTGATGACGTCATCTGTGACGTCACTTCCGGTGATGACGTCATCTGTGACGTCACTTCCGGTGTCACTATTCTCCCGTATCATTTATGACGTGGTTTACTGTTATGCCCTTTTGGATAGTGATATTTAACGTATCTTAACGTTTCTCCGGTGTGATGACTCCTATGACGTCACTTCCGGTGGTAGTACATTAACCTTCCTATCATGTAGATTACCGTATATCACTTAATCCTTCGATCTCTGATTTCAGTGTTGA